TTTTTTTTTTTTTTTTGAGACAGAGTCTCACTTTGTCACCCTTGGAAGAGTGCTGTGGCGTCTTAGCTCACAGCAACCTTAAACTCTTGGGCTCAAGCAATCTTCTTGCCTCAGCCTCCCAAGTAGCTGGGACTACAGGTGCCTGCAACAGTGCCTGGCTGTTTTTAGAGTTGAAATGTCTCTCTCTGGATCAGGCTGGTCTTGAACGTGTGAGCTCAGGCAGTCCACCCACCTCAGTCCCAGAGTGCTAGGATTACAGGCATGAGCCACCATGCCTGGCCTTAGAAACAAAATTGTTTTTATATACTCTCACAAAACTTCTGATACTAAATGTGTGGGTTTTTCCAATTCTCTGGGCATCTTACAGTTTAATTCTCATAATATTCAGAATGAGCAAAAACACCACAAATGGGTCCGACAGGCTGCTCTCAACTTCAGGGTGCCAGTTCCAGGTCCCAGGTTGTGAGCTGTACGTCTGCCCAAACAGGTATGAACTGTGGGGTCCCATATCACCCCACTCTGTTCACTAATTTGCTGAAGTGGCTCAAAGAACTCAGGTAGCATCTTATTTATTATTATGGCTTATTATAAAGGATGCAACTCAGGAACAGCTTGGTAGAAGAGCTGCCTAGGGCACGGTGGAGGAGAGGAACACAGAGTTTCCACACCTACATGTGTTCCCCAACCAAGAAGCTCTCCAAACCCTGACTGAGGCTTTCAAGAAGGTTCTATGATTAAGCCAAGCATAGTGGCTGTACACCTATAATTACACCTATAATCCCAGCACTCTGGGAGGCTGAGGTGGGTGGAGTGTTTGAGCTTAGGAGCTCAAGACCAGCCTGAGCAAGAGAGAGACTCTATCTCTAAAAACAGCCAGGCTTTGTGGCAGATGCCTATAGTCCCAACCGAGGCAAGAGAATCGCTTGAGCCCAAGAGTTTGAGGTTGCTGTGAGTTATGACCCCACTCCACTTTACCAAGGGAAGCTAAAGATGGTTGTGAGAAAGACAGAGGTGCCTGAACTCACCACGTCAGTCCATCTTATTTAATCCTCTGTTATTCAGCTCTGTTTGTTGTGAGATGCTATT